CTAGGCGAGGACCAAGAGGACACCTTTTTGCGACGACTGAGCCATGCCTCCCTGACTGCTGTGGTGCAGCTCGAGAAGTCGTTTTGCTCCAGCAGTGCGCACGATGGCCCGCGCAAACGAACGCTTCGCACGTGCACGTCTATGCCAGGCAGGCTCGGGGAGTTGACGGACAGTCGTTGCGTCGGCTATCGCGTGGGGCCGTCTCGGGGCGGGGTCCTCGCAGGTGCCTGGCACCTGCACCCAAAGGTCCCTTGAGCCAAAATGGCTACGGAGGGGAGGAGGGGAGGAGGGAAGGAGGAGGAGGAGGAGGAGAAGGAGGAGGAGGAGGAGGAGGAGGAGGAGGAGGAGGGGAGGGGCAGGAATGACCCTTCGAGTAAAACAGAGGGGCGGCGGACCGAACTGCACATCGAAGCTCAGATCGAAACGAACACCGGCATGCGAGTCCGAAATGGCATCAGCATGATAATGTACATGCACATCGAACGTGATGATGATCGGAACGCGGTCCGACATGCAGCGTGGAACGCAAGCACAGCCAAATGCAGCTATCAATCGAACTACAAAATGGCAATCGACGTGTTAATTGACATAGCAGTCGACGTCCAACAGCAGTTCGTATCCCCCCGAGGGTTTACGGTACGGTGCCGTAGGCGTGCTGGGTCATTGGCCCGCCGTGCGTGGTCATACGAATGTTGGGCCTTAATTCGCTGTGCAGGGCTGGACCTAAACGTTGTTTTGCTGGACTTCGGTCGTGTCTTGCTTTTTCGTGCTTGCAGGGAGGTACAGGAAAACAAGTAGAGCAGAACGAAACACGAAACGAACACATAACTAAAAAAAGCGTTTACGTAGGTCCAGCCCTGTCGTTGTGCATTGTGTTTGAACCGTGCAGGGGCGTTGGCCCCATCCTGTGTTGACCCCCGCGTGCGAGGGCGTTAGCCCCGCATGTGCTGCCACGTCCCAGCCGGGGCTGTGGCCATCTCGTGCCGTTGCCCATCATGTTGGGCTCTGGGGCGACGTGCGCGTCGGCTCCGCACGCTGGGGCGGTGGCCCCCGCGAGGAGGAGGAGGAGGAGGAGGAGCAGCAGGAGGAGGAGGAGGAGGAGGGACGGAGGGGAGGAGGAAGAGGAGGACGAGGAGGAGGAGGGACGAGGAGGAGGGACGAGGAGGAGGAGGAGGGGTGCATTGCCCGACCCATGCGTGCCTTGGACCCTCATGCCTTGGCCCCTCGTACGTTGGCCTCTCGTGGGAATGGACGTCCGAGCGATGGCGAGCTGCGTGATGTTCCGATGTGGGCGTATCGGGGACCTCCTTGGGAGTTGCACTGTGGCATCTTGGAGGCATGTTCCAGATCGTATCGAGCTATATGGGTGGCCAGCTTTGTCCATCGGGGACCCCCCTGGGACCATCTTGGACGCTCAAACGCCTCTCGCGTCCGCGCCCCCTCGTGCTGTTGCCCATCATGTTGGGCTCTGGGGCGGCGTGCGCGTCGGCTCCGCACGCTGGGGCGGTGGCCCCCGCGAGGAGGAGGAGGAGGAGGAGGAGGAGCAGGAGGAGGAGGAGGAGGAGGAGGAGGGACGGAGGGGATGAGGAAGAGGAGGACGAGGAGGAGGAGGGACGAGGAGGAGGGACGAGGAGGAGGAGGAGGGGTGCATTGCCCGACCCATGCGTGCCTTGGACCCCTCATGCCTTGGCCCCTCGTGCGTTGGCCTCTCGTGGGAATGGACGTCCGAGCGATGGCGAGCTGCGTGATGTTCCGATGTGGGCGTATCGGGGACCTCCTTGGGAGTGGCACTGTGGCATCTTGGAGGCATGTTCCAGATCGTATCGAGCTATATGGGTGGCCAGCTTTGTCTATCGGGGAACCCCCTGGGACCATCTTGGACGCTCAAACGCCTCTCGCGTCCGCGCCCCCTCGTGCTGTTGCCCATCATGTTGGGCTCTGGGGCGGCGTGCGCGTCGGCTCCGCACGCTGGGGCGGTGGCCCCCGCCAGGAGGAGGAGGAGGAGGAGGAGGAGGAGGAGGAGGAGGAGGAGGAGGAGCAGCAGCAGCAGGAGGAGGAGGAGGAGGGAGGAGGGGAGGAGGAGGGAGGAGGAAGGGGAGGAGGAGGAGGGACGAGGAGGAGGAACGAGGAGGAGGAGGAGGAGGAGGAGGAGGAGGAGGAGGAGGAGGAGGGACGAGGAGGAGGAGGAGGAGGAGGAGGAGGGGTGTATTGCCCGACCCATGCGTGCCTTGGACCCCTCATGTCTTGGCCCCTCGTGCGTTGGCCTCTTGTGGGAATGGACGTCCAAGCGATGGCGAGCTGCGTGATGTTCCGATGAGTGCGTATCGGGGACCTCCTTGGGAGTGGCACTGTGGCATCTTGGAGGCATGTTCCAGATCGTATCGAGCTATATGGGTGGCCAGCTTTGTCCATCGGGGGCCCCCCTGGGACCATCTTGGACGCTCAAACGCCTCTCGCGTCCGCGCCCCCCGCCCAGGCCCAGGGGAGGGGGTGGGGAGAGGGGCCCAGGCACCGAATTACTGCCCACGCAGCGCAAGCCGTCTCGCTCACTCCCACCCGTCGTCCCAAAAAATAAGTCGCACCCGCGCATCCTTGCCAAAAGCAAATACAAAGTGGTCGTAGGGCGCCCGCGCATGCTCCAGATGTGGAAGCACTGTGCATTTTTGTATTGTAAGATGAGAAGGATTGTTGGCCTGCGCGCAGCAAGCAACATGAGGGCACCTCCGCCGCCCCCGACAAAAAACTTGCAAAGGGGTCGCGGTGCCCCCGCGCATGCTCCAGATTTGGAGGCAAAGTGTAGTGAGCATTGCTGCTTGACGGGCGACGGTGGGGGGGGGTCAGGGGTTCCTGGTTGGTTGCCAGTCGCTTGGGGGAGGGGGTGCTTCTTAATAGCGAACAGCGACCAGGTTCACAACGGGAACGCCGCAAGCTGTCTCGCTTATTCCAACCCGCCCTCCCCCTACATTAGTAGCACCCGGGTGTCAGCATAGGCAGGGGCCGCCTTCGACAACCATCAAGAACCAATGCAGACGCCAGCCAGCTGCGCGACGCACGCGGGGTGCGCCGCGCATGTCAGGTGCTCCTCGCGCACCACGTGCGCCAGGTGCCACGTTGGCTCAAGCATGCCAGGCGCGCGCCAGGCGAAACTCCCCAGAACACATGCACAGAGGGCCCGTGGCATTCGTGATGGGGCCTTGGCCCGCCATGCTGAGGCGTTTGCTGCTTTCTACTGGGGCGTGTTGGCCCAATGCGTCGACCCCTGAAGGTGGGGCCGGTGCCGCTCATGTGTTGCTATCTCCATGAGTGGCGTTGGCCACACACGCGATGCCATGCTCGTAGAGGGGCTTTGGCTGCTCACGCGTTGACCCCCGTTCTCGAGCTGGGGCCAGTGTGCGGCGAACGATCATGCTGGGGCTTTGGCTCCTCACGCGTTGACCCCTCAGGCTCAGGAGTTGGCCTCTCATGCATCGACATAGTCATGCTCGGGTTTTGGGCCCTCGTGCATTGATTCCCTATGTCGGGGTGCTCACCCGTCACTCTGAGGCTTTGACACCCCATTTGTTGACCCCTCATACGTCGGCGTCGCATGCTGGGGCTCTATCCCTCCACGCCTTGACCGCGTAAGCTGGGGCGTTGGCCCCTCACACGTTTACAAAATCATGCTGGAGATTTGGCCCTTGTAGCATTGATTCCTCATGCTGGTGTGTTGTTGGCCCATCATCATGAGGCTTTGGTCTCTCATGCGTTGATCCCCCCACCCGCTGGGGTTGTTGCCGCTGACGCGGGGAGTAGCAAGCCCCTCGAATTCAGTGGCTGGCATCCACTCCCCCCGCATGTGGCGCAGGGGATCATAACGCCACTGAGGGAAGCCACTGGGCCATGCACGCCTCCTTCATGGTCGTCCGCCAACTACTGGGCCAGCACGCCCTTTAACATCAGTGGATTGCTGTTTCAACAAGTTCGCATCTCCTTCGGGGCCCCACTCCCTGGGACATCAAATCAAGTCGGATCGCTAAGAACGGTATTGTGGTGAGGAGGGAGGGTCAAGACATCCAGCTAATGGGCCAGTGGAGTGATAGAAGTCGTAGGAGCGGGGGCGGAAGACCCTTAGCCGGATATCGCTTGGACATACCCATGTATGACTCATCTTTGTAATTGTGGGTCTAGGTGTGGTTTCTCCCATTCACTCCGCCTTCACCTCAGAGGCTTCTGCCTATGGGGCCCAGTCTTGGAACCAACTCTGCAAGTCCCCGCTGATCCTCCCTCTTCCTCCCCCTCCTCATCTGCCTCATGCATTGCACCTCCACTCCTCCATACCCCTTGCCTTCTGCTTCATCGCCTTCGCCCTTCACCACCTCCGTCCCGTCCTTCTCCTCTCGCTCGCGGCTCCTGCTCCTCGCTTCTCTCTCCCTCCCGAGCGCAACCGTGATGTCCGTGGCTCAACGTGCAGTCTGACGAACAGCGCGGTCGTGGACAGCACGACTGCGACCAGCGCACCACGACATTTTGGATCACGACGGGAGGGGTCCGTGCACCTGTGAATCGGTGGCCCGGCGACGGCCGCGAGAGTTTGTGAATTGTGATTGCCGCGCCTCCCTCGTTCCTCGCTCTCTCTCTCTCTCTCTTGTTTTGTTTCTCTCTGCCTCTTACGCTCTCTCTCTATCTCTTTCTCACCCTCTCTCTCTCTCTCTTCCTCTCTTCGTCTTTCTGTCTCTCTATCTCTCTCGCTCCCTCTCTCTCTCTCTCTTTCTCTCCCTGTATGCGTATATGTGTACAAATATCTACATGTACATACATGTATATATATATATATATGTGTGTACATGCCTACACACAGATATCCCTCTCTTCGTCGGTCTTCCTGTCGGGTAGTCCCAGCTCTGGCTCGCCCTCCCCGGTTTGGGTATGAATTGGGGTACTCGGTTTGGGTATGAATTGGGGTACTCGGAAGCCGCTGGACGGCCGCGGCCGCGTTGCAAACACAGAATTCCCTTGGGCAGGATGTCTCCGATTACCTGACGCTCGGGCAGAAGATCCAGGTCCGCGTTGAGAATGTGGACGTCCAGGCCGAGATGTCGGGAGGAGAGGCAGGAGCAGGATCGGAGTCTCCTGGCTGTCATCTGCATCCGTCTCCGAAACTTCTCATCGTTTTCCTCAGCATCGTCATCATCATCACCAGCATCATCATCAGCATCAGCATCGTTATTATCGTCGTCATCATCATCAGTATCAGCATCATACTAAGCATCGCCAGAGTCAATGACATCATCATGTTCATCGTCGTTGTCATCGTCGTCATCATTTCCATCACCACCGTCATCAGCGTCATCGCCATCATCACCAACAGCAGCATCAGTATCACCATCGCCATCATGATCATCATCATCATCATCATCATCATCATCATCATCATCATCATCATCATCATCATCATCCGCATCATTACTGTCATCGTCATCATCATAATCATCCTCAGCTTCATTGTGATCAGTATTTGCCTCATCATCCACATCATCATCCGTATCATCATCATCATCATCATCATCATCATCATCATCATCATCATCATCACCATCATCACCATCATCAGCATCATCATCATCATCATCATCACCACCACCATCATCATCATCATCATCATCATCAGCATTAGCATGAGCAGCATCAGTGCCATCATTGCCATCACGAGCACCATCACCAGCATCAACCTCATCATCATCAGCATCATCATCAGCAGCAGCATCAGCATCATCAAGTTAGTCAGCATCATGAGTATCATCCTCATCATCATCATCACCATCATCATCATCATCAGCATCATCATCACCATCATTGGCATCAGCATCGCCAGCATCACCGTCATTGTTATCAACATCATCATCAGCATCATCGTCATCATCATCCGTAGCCATTTTGGCTCAAGCGAGCTCGAGTGCGGGAGGCCCTAGCGGTGCGCGCGCGGTGCACGCGGGCGGGTATTCTAGTGGCCATGAATGGACGGGCGTGGGCTGCGGCTAGCGCCTGCACGCTGGAGCGGCGGCTGCGGCGGCAACGCTGGCAGGAGCGGGGGCAAATGCGGGCAGCGGCGCTGGCCTGCAGGACGAGGGGCGTGCGCGAGGCCCTGGCCGCGCACTGGGCGCTGGGCGACCGCCTGGGCGGCCATGCCCCCTGTTTCGGGGAGGAGGCGGTGGCCATGGGGCGGCCGCTTGGCTGCCCAGCAGAGGTGCTCGCGGAGGCGCAGGAGCACCTGGCCCAGGGGAGCTGGCCGAGGCACGCGCCACCCCCAGTCCGCACGCGCCTGCCAGGGCCGCCGCCTGGAGCAGCGCGGGCGGACAAGCTCGAGGCTTCGCCGATGGCGGGGGCGGCGTGTCAGCCCTGGCCAGCGCGGACGGCGCTGCACGGAGGGGCGCGGCCCTTCGCCCCGCTGCGGCACTACTGCGAGCACGCGGCGGCGGCGGCGACGCCCAGCCCCGCGGCGCCCCTCGGCGAGCAAGCGGCGACGGCGGCGCCGCCCTACCTCGCGGAGGAGCCCTTCGGCGAGAAGGCGGCGGCGGCGGCGCCCTACTTTGCGGAGCCCTTCGGCGAGCAGGCGGCGGCGGCGGCGCCCTACCCCGCGGAGCCCCTCGGCGAGAAGGCGGCGGGCGGCGGCGGCGGCACCCTACTTCGCGGAGCCCCTCGGCGAGCAGGTGGCGGCGGCGACGCCCTACCTCGCGAAGCCCTTCGGCAAGCATTTCTTCTATTGGATCGATGACTCAGAGCTCGTCGGCCTTTTTGTTTTATCCTCGGGTTATCGTCAGAACAATAGCTCCTGCACGTGGCCGACGCGCGACGGCAGGCCCGAAGGGGGCCGAAAGAAAGCGAGGGACGGGGAACCAGGACCGAGACAAGGACGAGCGAGGGCCGCGACCGAGAACACAGGGACCGAATCCACGAGGGCCCGAAAAAACAGCAATCGAGAGAATGGATTTTATCCCATGCCCGAATTTATATAAAGATATCCACCATCCCTCCCAATCAAGTGCAGGAGAGGTGTGCGAATAATGAAACATAATTCACCTGAATCGGACAGCGCGCTCGGCAGAACGCGGCAGGCGTTCCGATCTAGATGGGTCAGAGGGCTCAGGTCGGAAAGAGTTCGGGGCGAACGTGAACCCAACGTTGTCACGGCGAAAGGACGCGTCCTCAGGAACAGCGTCGCAGGGCGCGCGACGATCACCATGTGGTACGGCCACGAGACCAGCAGCAGGAGCAGCGAGTTCCTGGGCTTCTGTCGGCACGAGCTAGGCTCGCGCCACCACCTGGCGCGCTGTCCACCAAGTAGAAATGGTGGCCGCACGACTTCCAGTAGCACCCCGTAGATCATGATCAGCGCAGTACTCACGATCATCCGCGGTTGCTTCAACAGGGCCTGGGGGATCATCATCGGGACAATTGACCTCATCGATCAGCGGCTCATTCACGGACTCCTGCTTCGCTGCCTCGGACTCCGTCTCGCGAGCACACACGAAACCACGAGACGAGACAGCAGGAGCACAACCAGCAACTTCATCATGCGGCAGGTTCAGACACCGGTCCACATACAGGTCGTCCTCCATAATGGGCACCCAGCAACCTGGCGCCCAGAAAGGCACGAACGAGGGGGCGTCAACGTTCAAGGGGAGCTGCGCCCGCACGCCAGCCGCAGAGGCTCGGCCCTCCAAGCGCTGCCCCTTCTGAAGAAGGCGGAGCTGCTCGGCAGGCGCCGTGGAGAGGCGGCAGCCAGGAGCATCCGCGTGAAGAGCCACATTTTTGCGCAGCACGTCGACATGGGGCGGAACTCGGCCAGCCATCAGCGTCCCAAGGGCTGGGTCAAGCGCCAAGATCCTGTCAGCAAGATCGGGGCCGCCGAATATGAGGTTAATCGCGTCTTGCAGCTGTTTCTGCTCCTGCCGCAGCTGCCTCAGCGCGAGGCTAAGGCGTTGAACAGCACGTGCGCGAGGCTAAGACGTTGAACAGCACGATCAGCGGACAGCTCGGCCCATTCCCTGGACCGCTCCCTGTCCTGCGCAGTCCGTCTTGGCGCGCCATCCCGCAGCCACCGCTCCCGCTCGCACCCAGCCGCCATCGTCCGGAATTGGAAGAAAGCCGCGCGCGCGGGCCAGCTTAAGCCAAAATGGGTACGGAAGAGCTCGTCGGCCCGGGGGGGCCGATTGAGAGGGCGCATTCCCTCGACCGCGCCAGCCTCGACGCACTGGCGGCCACGTCCACGGTGCAGCGCGACGCTGCAGAGGAGCTCAGGTTGCGCGCGATAGTCCAGGTCAGGGACGACCACGCCGCAGGGCGCGACGTGGACATGGACGAGTACGTTTGCGCAGCGAGGGCCGAGGCCCAAGGGTTCTCGGCGACGGGCTGAGACGGGTGCAGGTTGGGGGGTGTTTGCGCGGAAACTTTGGGGAGGGGGCCCAAGCACACCGTGAGTGAGTGAGCCTGCCGCTGTGACGCGCCGAGACCGATCGAGATCTGCTGCGAGAGGCTGGGGGCGCTTCGGAGTAATGTAGTTGATAGGAGAGTTCGGGGGAGACCCCAAGTCGGCGGCTGCCCCCCTCGGGGGAGCGGGATCATCATCCTCATCGCCATCGCCATCATCATCCTCATCAGCATCATCGTCAGCATCTTCGCCCCCCGACTTCACCTTCTGACTTTCGCCCCCCCTTTTCTGGCTACTCGCGTTCCAGGCCCTCATTAATCGGCCTTCCCGCCCGTCCTCTCTCTCTCTCTCTCTCTCTCTCTCTCCGCGGGGGCGGGAAAAGGGAAGAGCGAAGAGAAATTGTAGGAGGAGCCCAGCCAGGGAGAGGAGGAGGAACACATAGGACGAGGAGGAAAGGCGCAGAGACAAAGGTTGCCGCAGTGGCACGGCCGTCGTCTCAACATCAGCGCAAGGGGGCACCTCGCGCCAGGCTCCGTCGTCGCAGAGGCCTCACTCACGGCTCCTGGGGGGACCACCCTCGCGTTGCGCAAGACATTCCATTCCTCCGTCGTCGTCCGTTTCGTCTCTTCCTGGCGTTGCCGTGATCTATATGAATGGCCGACCTGGCCACGGGTGTTCTGCACACGGCGTTTATGCATGTCCTGTTTTGTTATGACCCCTCACGTTGCGCACCGCCGCGGTTGCACGTTTCGAGAAGCGGCCCCGAGCGCGTCAGGATGCCGGCCTCACTTTTGCTTGCCCTTCCTACCCCTTGCCTAAAGGGTGGAGAGGGGGGGGGGTCGGGAAGGCGCCCACTCCTTGGAAAGGGTGTGGGCAGGGTGGAGGGGGGTGGGACGGGGTGGAGGGGGGTGGAGAGGGAGTGGGGAGGGCGGAGAGGGGGGCGGGGAGAGGCTGGAGAGGGGGCGGAGAAGGGGCGGGGAGGGGGTGGGGAGGGGGAGGAGGGGGCGGGGAGAGGGCGGAGAAGGGGGTGGTGAGGAGGCGGAGACAGGGAAAGGGGGTGGGAGAGGGGGTGGTTAGCTTCGCTTCCCCCAGTCCCACCGTTCGGCCGCCCTCCCGACGAGGCGCAGCGGATGTCGGTGACCATGAGAGACGCCCCGGGCTCGGGAATCGCACGTTCGCCGAGCGCGCGCCGTGGACGACTCGCCAAAGATTAGCCTTGGCGCGCTTCTGGCACAGAAGGCGATAATGATGACGACGATAACGACGCTGACAGGGACGAAGATTACGGCCATGACGACTACGACGGCGACGATGAAGACGGCGACGACAACGATGCTGCAGATCCGTCGCAGGGCGGGTGGGAGGGGGGAGGAGGAGACAGGAGAGAAGCGGGGGATAGGAGAGAGGCAAGCTGGGTGCGCGCGCCATATCATGACATCTTACTCCTCCCATCCAGTCCTTCCCGGTGGGGCGAGGCTTTCTCGATCCGCCGACGGGTGTCGTAGCGGACTTGGATCCCCAAAATGACCCAATTGTGTGATGCGCAAGCAGAAACTGGAGCTATGTACATGGGAGGAGGAGGTGGAGGAGGAGGAAGAGGAGGAGGAGGAGAAGGAGAAGAAGGTAGCAGACCAGCGGAAACCCAAGACGCATCAACGATGCTACTAGAAACCTTCCCTCCAAGTTCCTTCTTCACAGGCCCCTATACGAATCTATCTTCACTGCGTGAAGTGCCCCATTGGAAGACCAGCTGCTTGAGAATCCACAACTGTGCCAGAAACCCATCTGGGGACTCAAGACTGCGAACCAGCGTGACTGCTGCGTCCTGGCAATCCTGCATCGTGCTGGAACGCTATCCCTGAGACGTCAACACCGCGAGTCAACGCGACAGTTGTGTCTTGACAGTCGTGAATTGTGCCAGTGCACCATTCTTGGGATTGGAGAGGCCGTTGCGGCAGGTGCCGCCGACCCTGAACGACGACGACGACGATGTTGACGCCGGTCAGGCTCCTCAGGGATGGTTCTTGGGGTCTCTTCTGAGCGCTCTCGGTTGCCTCTGGGGGGTAATTGTGGGGCCTTTGGGGGGCCTGTTTGGAAGGCTCCTGGGGGCATCTTCTCGGCGCTTCCTGGGAGCCTCCTGACAGTCGTAAACTGGACCAGTGCACCGTTCTTGGGATCCCAACTTCACGACGGATCCTGGAAGCTGTCTTCATCCAAGCTTTAAATAACTACAGGTGCGCGTGGCGCTCTGGCGAGGGCCACATGTTGGAGAGGAACCGCCCCCCCATCCTTGAAGCTGCTGCAGGCTCTGAAGGCGACGCTGCGCGGCGCAGAGGCACGAGCCGCAGGCCGAGAACGGCCCGCCCCCCCATCCTTGAAGCGTTTGGGCACGTTCGGGGCGGCTGCGCCCAGGCGAGAGCCGCGTGCTGAGAAGGGACCGTCCTCTCTCTGAAGCTCCTCCTCCTCCTCCTCCGCCTCCTCCGCCTCCGCCTCCTCCTCCTCCTCTTCCGCCTCCTCCGCCTCCTCTTCCTCCACCTCCTCCTTCTCCGCCTCCTCCTCCGCCTCCTCCTCCTCCGCCTCCTCATCCGCCTCCTCTCTCGTTCCGTCAGCAGCTTTGCACTTGACTCAGGGCCCGTCGCGTCTAGGTGTGCACGCGGCGGCAGAGGGACGGCGCGGCCGTGTGGGAAGAAGCCTCGGTGCGACATCCTGAGAGGGCGCAGCGCATCCATCGTGCCTGCAAACTTTCAAGGCGAATGCGCGCGGCGATACGGCGAGAGCCACCTGCTGAAAACGAACCGCTCTCCGTCATCAAAGCTGCTGCAATGCTTAAAGACGAAAATGCGCGGCGCTAGGGCGAGAGCTTCTTTTTGAAGACGGCCCTCCCCCAGTCTGTGACATTGTCGCACGTCTCAAATATGCTGAAGCTAAGTGTTGAGAAAGTCTCAGGCGAAACTCTCGGCCCGCCCGACACGTCTGGGGACGCGGCAAGGAGGAGCTATGCATCAGGAAAAGTAGCTGGATAGGAGGATCAGCAGGATGAAGAGGAGGACGACGATGAAGGAGGAGAGGCAGCAGCAGCAGGAGCGGAAGTGGGAGGAGCGGGAGCAGCAGGAGGAGCAGGGGAAGCCGAAGGGGGGAAAGGAGGGAGGCGACAACGACGAGGAAGGAATCGGATCCAGAAATGCGGCCCGCGGTGGTGCGAGATCGCCGTTCTAAACGATGGGCACAACGCGCCATTCATGACATGAGGCCAACGCTGCAGCGGGAGCACCAGCTTGCCAAACAGAAACCACAAAACCAAGCAAGGCACATACGAATACAAGCATGAGTTACTTGTGATGAGATCCTGTGTGTGATGACACTGAACGGGCAAGGCAAGGGCCCGAAAGCACAGGTTCAGGAGAGAAGGAGAGCAGTCCTCGCAAGGGTAGTTGATTGTGGAGGGGAGGGGGGGAGAGCGGAGAGGAGGCGGGATAGGTGAGGATTCTGGGCCCATTCCCGTCCGTTCCCCTGGACCCCCCCCCCCCACACTGGACATTGTCTAGGGTGAAGTCGGGCATGTCCCTCTACAGGTGGAATATTCAAAAATAGTTTACACAAAACTCTGGGGACCTTTTTATGTTTGATTGTGTGCCGAGCATATTTTGATTATGTTTACATTTATCTTCCACAATTCGCCTGTAGGAGGACATGCCCGACCTAATGGTGGGGGGCAGGAGGGTGTCCAGTTGCCAGTCTCCCCAAGGCTGACACCGCCGTCCGTGTTGGAGCACGCAGGGCCACAGACGTCTTCCCGAGTCCTCCTCAGAAGCGCACCCTGCAGCGGGCTGGCACTTCCGCTTCCGGGAGTGGGCTCCCTGCTCAGAGGAGGAAAAGGTATCCATACCTCTACCCCTCGCTCGTTTTCCCTTTTTGGGGCCTCCTCGGAGGCCCTCGTCGCCACCGCTGGATTCGCCTCGAAATTCTTGTCAGAACGCATCCCGGGAGAGGTCCAGGGAGTAGCGATATCGGTACTTTCTGGTCTCCCCACTTGCGAGCCCGCCCAAGACAGATCCAGCACGGGATCGGAGTGGTTGCCGTACGGTAGATCCGCGTCGTGTCGACCGGCGGCGACCCCGCCGCCGGCGTTCAACGCTGAACGCCGTTGGCGGCCCAGAATCCGTCGATGTTGAACGATCGGTCGTTTCTGGGAAGCGGCCGATGCTTGGCTGGGCGATCCCGGCGGTGTCGGGAGCCACCGCCCGGGGTCGACACGGCGCGAACCCGTCGTGCCCCCCCCCCCGTGGCCTCGCCAGGGCGCTCAGGCTGGTCGGGGCACTCCCCCGTCGGTCGGAGGAGGCAGCCGTGCGGCCAGGGGCGGCGGGCGCCCCCCCCCCTGCGTGCCGTGGTGGCGCCGTGCCCGCGGCCCGTCTCGCAGGAGTGGGCGCACGCCGTGGGGCATCGGGCCCCGCCGTGCTCGTCGTCATCGTCCAGGAGGGAAGAAAACACACAGACACAATTAATCGCCGATCCCCCAGAAAATATGGGAAAATATGGGAAGTGGGGGGGAAGACGAAAACCCTGAAAATATGGGAAAATATGGGGAATCTGTTTTATTTGTGTGTATTTATTTGTGTGTCCCAGGGCCCCTTCAATCGTGCGGTCCCTCAACTCGGCGGCGAGCCTGGTGGGGGGAGGGCGAGAAGGGAAGCGCCTTGTCGGAAGGCCCCGAAGTCCCCCTGGCCTTCTGAGGAGCGCTCCGGAGGCCTTCCTCGGTGGGCACGGGAGGCTCTCACGCTTTCGCGTGGTGGGAGAGGGTTCGGAGGTCGCCAGGCATTCCGGTGACCTGTGGAGCTCTGCGCGGAGCTGTCGGCTGTGTCGTAGCAGGTCGCGTCGACGAGTCTGAAGGGCAGCGGGTCGTGGGTATTCCACTTCCTTCTCGGCGTGGAGCTCCGCCCCATCCATCCTGATGGACTCTAGTTGCGTTTGCAGCTTGCCAGCGTTGAAACAGATATGTGTCACTCGTTGTGTTTCCTCGTACAGCTGAGCCTCCGCCGCTATCAAATGTTCGCCCCGAGTTGGTGAGCCATGGAATGATTCTTAGGCTTACGCCACACCGCCGACCCCTTGTTTTTGTTGGGGGCCTTCCTGGGGGTCCCTGGGGCACGTTGGGGGCGTCTTGGAGCCGAAGGTTCGAAGTGTCCGTTCCGATTCTCCGTCCAGCTGATTGGGAGTCTCTCTGTCCGTCTTGGAGCTCTCCTGGTGGTCCTTTCGCCGTCTTGGAGCCCCGCTGGTGTCAAAAGGCGAACCTGCTGAAAATAGATTCTCTTGCACAAGGTGTCTAGAGCTCCGACCATTTTAGTCCGCCTCGCACACACACACACACACACACACACACACACCGTTTCCCCAGCGCCAGAGTGGGACCCCGGCGCCGTGGCTCTCTGCCCCGAGCCCCCCCGTGTCCCCAGCGCCCCAGCGGGAGAGCCCCGCCCAGTGCGGGGCGATGTCTTGCCCTCGCTTCCCCCCTCCTCCTCCACCTCCTCCTCCTCCCCCTTCCTTTTTGCGCAAGAGCCATGGCACACGTGCCATTTGTTCCCAACCATCCTGTGGTGTTGGGTCCTCGTTTTGAAGAGACGTCGCCCCGCGTTCCTTCCTCCTCCTCCTCCTCCTTCCTCCTCCTCCCCTTCCTCCCCCCTCCTCCCCCTCCCACACCCATTCTGGCACACCCCTCACACGTTTCGTGGCCCCATAGGGAGCTCCACCGAAGGCCCCAGTGGCTGCGCCCGCATGCGGTTCCACCCCCCATTCTGGCACACCCCTCACACGTTTCGTGGCCCCATAGGGAGCTCCACCGAAGGCCCCAGTGGCTGCGCCCGCATGCGGTTCCACCCCCCATTCTGGCACACCCCTCACACGTTTCGTGGCCCCATAGGGAGCTCCACCGAAGGCCCCAGTGGCTGCGCCCGCATGCGGTTCCACCCCCATTCTGGCACACCCCTCACACGTTTCGTGGCCCCATAGGGAGCTCCACCGAAGGCCCCAGTGGCTGCGCCCGCATGCGGTTCCACCCCCCATTCTGGCACACCCCTCACACGTTTCGTGGCCCCATAGGGAGCTCCACCGAAGGCCCCAGTGGCTGCGCCCGCATGCGGTTCCACCCCCCATTCTGGCACACCCCTCACACGTTTCGTGGCCCCATAGGGAGCTCCACCGAAGGCCCCAGTGGCTGCGCCCGCATGCGGTTCCACCCCCCATTCTGGCACACCCCTCACACGTTTCGTGGCCCCATAGGGAGCTCCACCGAAGGCCCCAGTGGCTGCGCCCGCATGCGGTTCCACCCCCCATTCTGGCACACCCCTCACACGTTTCGTGGCCCCATAGGGAGCTCCACCGAAGGCCCCAGTGGCTGCGCCCGCATGCGGTTCCACCCCCCATTTGGCACACCCCTCACACGCTTCGTGGCCCCATAGGGAGCTCCACCGAAGGCCCCAGTGGCTGCGCTCGCATGCGGTTCCCCCCCCCATTTGGCACACCCCTCACACGGTTCGTGGCCCCATAGGGAGCTCCACCGAAGGCCCCAGTGGCTGCGCCCGCATGCGGTTCCACCCCCCATTCTGGCACACCCCTCACACGTTTCGTGGCCCCATAGGGAGCTCCACCGAAGGCCCCAGTGGCTGCGCCCGCATGCGGTTCCACCCCCCATTCTGGCACACCCCTCACACGTTTCGTGGCCCCATAGGGAGCTCCACCGAAGGCCCCAGTGGCTGCGCCCGCATGCGGTTCCACCCCCCATTCTGGCACACCCCTCACACGTTTCGTGGCCCCATAGGGAGCTCCACCGAAGGCCCCAGTGGCTGCGCCCGCATGCGGTTCCACCCCCCATTCTGGCACACCCCTCACACGCTTCGTGGCCCCATAGGGAGCTCCACCGAACGCTCCAGTGGCTGCGCCCGCATGCGGTTCCACCCCCCATTTCGGCACACCCCTCACACGCTTCGTGGGTGGCCAATGGGGAGCTCCACCGAACGCCCCAGCGGCTGCGCTCGCATGTGTGCCCCCCCCCATTTCGGCACACCCCTCACACGTTCGTGGCCCCATAGAGAGCTCCACCGAAGGCCCCAGTGGCTGCGCTCGCATGCGGTTCCACCCCCTTTTTCGGCACGCCCTTCACACGTCTCGTGGCCCCATAGGGAGCTCCACCGAACGCCGCAGTGGCTACGCTCGCATGCGGTTCCACCCCCCATTTCGGCACACCCCTCACACGCTTCGTGGCTCCATAGAGAGCTCCACCGAAGGCCCCAGTGGCTGCGCCCGCATGCGGTTCCACACCCCATTCTGGCACACCCCTCGCACGTTTCGTGGCCCCATAGGGGGTTCCACCAAAGGTCCCAGTGGCACTGCCCGCTTGCGTCCGCCACCACGCAACACAGCCCTTGTTCCCTGCGCTTCACCCACCCAGAACAGCGCTTCGTAGCCCTATAGGGAGCTCCACCAAAGGTCCCAGCGGCACCGCCCGCATGCGTCCGCCACCACCCTGCGCAGCCCTTGCTCCCTGCCTGCGTTTCACCCACCCAATACAGCGCTTCGTGGCCCCATAGGGAGCTCCACCGAAGGTCCCAGTGGCACCGCCCGCATGCGTCCGCCACCACCCAGCACAATTGCGGCATTCACAACTGCATATGGTTGGGTCCTTCGCCAGGCTAATTTTTCGCTATTTGTGCTTGGGGTCTTTTGGGGAAGCCTTGGGGCTCCAAGGGGCCTCTTGGAGGCCTCTTGGGTGTGTCTTGGGGCCCCTTGGGGCCAATTGGGGGCGTTTGGACGCCTTTTTGGAGCCTTTTGTGGCCTCCTGGGGGCCTCTAGGGGCGGACAGCTGGAATGTTGGTTTCGTGGTTCCCCTTTCGGGCCCCTCTTGGGGCCGTCTTGGAGCCCTTTTGGGTCGTTTTGGATGCCTCTTGTGCCGTGGTGGGGGCTTCTTGGGAGCCTATGGGGCCGTCTTAGGGCGGTCTTGGAGGCATCTTAGAAGGGCTTCCGCGCTGTGAAGGCGGAATAATCATATGTGCTAGAACTGCACTTTTTCCTAAGGGAATTTGAAGATATTGGCCTCTTGGAGGCCTCCTGGGAGGCCTCTTGGAACGTCTTGGCGGCCTCTTGGGCCGTCTTCGGCCCATGTTAGGCGTCTTGGAACGATCTCTCGGCCCATGTTAAGCGTCTTGGAACGATCTTTCGGCGTCTCGGGGCCCTCTTGGACCGTCTTGGGGGCCTCTTGAGCGGCCCCAGACGCTGTCATGGACCTCCATAAGGGGCCCGGGAAGGGCTGGACTCCCCTGGTGAGCTCTGGCCGGACGGCCCCCCCCCTCCAAATCAACCGGACCGGGCTCCGGGGGGAGGGGTTTGGGGAAGGGGAAGCATCTCAGCATCTCACACGCCAATGATCCCCAAGGGGTTGGCGGATTCCGTCATGGCATCCCTGTCCCAGCGGATGCGCTCGAGCGTTCGTCCGGGCGTCGGTGCCCATGCAGGTAGCCGAAGCTGTGTGCGCAAGAACACGTGATACTTCCGACAATTGTAAACAAGTGGCTTGCGAGTAAAGCAGGGAGGGCACCTGCAGTGGCGATGGCCCCCGTGCCATACACATCAGACGCTGGAGGGGGCGGCACACTCATGCCGTCATTCAAGTCGGCGCACAGCATGGGAATGGTTTGGTCGGGAGGTCAGTCGGCCAGGCCAAGAACTTGGAACCCTCAGGCTTACCTTGGGCTTCACCCTCGCATGTAAATAGTACATCGTGGGAGAAGATATTCTCACAGCCAAGCAATCAAGCAGTGGCGAAGCGTCCTGGCTCGCCTATAGGCCTACCAAACAATGTTCTAAGAACCTCTTGTGGTTTCCACGACATGCTCTTAGAACATGTATGGCGGAGACCGTTTTACTTTATCGCATCGGGCGTGTGTTCTAAGAACATAGTTTTTATTATTAGAACCACGTTTTGGTCACAAGAACACGTCGTGGGAGGACTATAGGAGTGCCGGGACGGTCGGCCTCTGCTCAAAGCAAGGCCGCCCTTGGTAGTTGTTTGGTTGTATTGCTGAATGTCATTGTGATGCTTGTCGATAAGTTGGTGCATTGACCAGAGGAATGACCTTGTTCCACCTGCCATCGCAGTCCAAGTCTGCGCTGTTGTATTCTAAAGTCTGCTACGAGCTCCGTGCCAGTCAGCGTCACGCAGTGAACGATTTCGCGGGCGAAACTGGTATCCTCTTGGAGGTCGCATCGAACAGCTAAGAGAGAATCGTAGTGACCACAGCGACGTACGTGCGGCATAAGTTGCTGTGGGTTTGGTCCCCTATTTTGGAGGGTGAAAGCGGGGGTCGGGCGCAGGGTCCGGGCAATGGTGTCTCTTTGGGCCATGCATGGGCGATACATCCTCGATTGCTGTGTTCGGCGGGGGAACCACTTGAAGCTCCCCGCCTGCACCCAAGCGCGAGACTTGAGGGTAAACGAAGCAAGGAGGCGGGGGGCTCGGGAAAGCCGACGAAGGCAACGTGCCTTGAGGGCCCCCAAAAAAACGGTTTTAATGAACGAAAGCGGCGAGGTGAGTGTCAAAATCTGCCCAGCCGATCTGCCATGCGGAACACTGCGCCTCAGTTTTTGTGGATCTTGAGGGCCCAGGCAAAATGTGAGTTTACATGGTGGGGAAAAGCAAATTGTGGAATCACATGTTAAGAAAAAAGGAAAATGTGAGATTACATGTCGGAAAAAGATTAATGTGAATTCAAATCTGGAATGTTAGATAGGAATCTTTATGAAGGGGCCAGAATGTGAATTCACATCTTGGGAAAAAGGAAGATGTGAGTTCATAGTATGGAAAAAACGAAAATGCGAATTCACATGTTGGGAAAGTCACAGGACGAATTCCAAATCTGTCTGGGGGGTCGACAAGTCATCGTTTGGGAACATACGCGGTCATCAATCGCCCAATCAAGACACACTTGCACTCTGCTTCGCCGCCCCACGGGCTATATGCAAGAACGCCCGCACGCATGAACGATAATGGATGGACGGCGCGTATGCCCGCGCGGGCAACGCGCGGGCGCGAACGACTGGCCCTCCATGATTGCCAACATTGGATGCTAATCATACCCGATCACATACATGAGCGATACATTGAGCATACATGGGTCATTCAGCCCCATTGAAGACCCCCTGTTGCAGACCCCTTCTTTCACCCTCCCACTATATCTCGCGAACGTGTTTCAAGTTTCAGGAGCAGGCAGGCCCCAGCAGCCATGATGGCCAAAAACAGTCTGTCTTGTACCAGGCCTCGCAAAGCATGGTGCGAGAACGATGCAGGATGGTCTTTGTCGCCTTGGCGCTGCTTGACCCCAAGTGGCGATTGCTGGGGAGGAGGGAGGGAGGACGAGGGATGCGAGGGACGAGAGGACGACGACGACGACGACGACGACGCGACGACGAGCACGAGGACATTCACAAGGACCAAGGAGACGAGGACGAGGACGAGGAGGTTGAGGAGGAGGGGGCGAGGTGCTGGAGGAGCAGGAGGACGACGAAGACGACGAGGCCGACGAGAACGAGGGATTGGAGGAGGAGGAGGAGCACGCGATGGAGGAGGATGAGGAGTTCATCCGAGGTCAGCTGCCCCCTCGAGGAGTTCCAGGATTTGGACTCCGAGAAGTGGCTCGAAGGCGCCGACCGAAACCCGCTTTAGGCTGGAAGGCTGCGAGGTGTGGGAAGGTCGGCGCTCGTCGTCGCCGCCGTAAATTCGTTGCCGCAGGAGCCCTGCGGTTCCCAGACGTGGCCGTCGTCGCTCCGCAGGAGGAGCTGGCGGACCCAGAAATGCCCGCATCTGGAAGAACATGCCGTGGCCGGTTTGTTGGCAGCTTTTGGCTCTTGGGGCCCTCGCCGGGCCCCGGGACCTCCTCCTCTTCCTCTTCCTCTTTGTCGCCGGGCCCTGGAGACTTGAAAAACTACTCGGGATGAGGCGCTGCGCTGTGAAAACAGCACGACGTCGGATGTCTGGGGGATGTAGCAGGAGGAGGAGGCGGAGGGGGAGGAGGAGGAGAAGGGGGTTGGGGGCAAGGTCTTTGGACGTCTTCGGTGGTTTTCCCAGGTTGTGGGAAGCACCCCAAACGGTTGCGTGCATTTTGGGTGGTCCCACCGGAAGGTGCAAGAATCTTTGTGAAAGAGCGTCGCCCATGTCGGTGGGCAGCGGGATTCTCAGAATCTCAGTTTTCTAGGCCCTGCTCTGGATTCAGTGCGAGGTTAATTGAAAGCGTTGAGTGTGTAGACAGTGGTGAGAGTATGGAGAACGAAAAGAGGATCAAGAGTGAAGAGGGCGTCGAGAATGTAAAGGGTGTAGAGAGTGTAGGAAGTGGAAAGAGTGCAACGTGCAGCGTTCACTGAGCGAAGGGAGTGCGGAGAGCGTGGGGAAGGTAAAGAATTGCGATAGCACTGGGTACAGGTGAAGAGCTCGAGGAAACGATCTGTGTCGAAAGTGTGGAGGTTGTAGACAAAGTGAAATGCAGCAAATCGCGGTGAGCGATGAGTATAGAAAGCATCGACAGAGCAAAGACTGTATAGGTTGCAGGTAGAATGCAGAACCGGGAGGGTGTAGATTGAGCGCAGAGAGTGTAGACACCGTGAAGAAAGCGGACGAAGAGCGTGGACAACGCAGGGAGAGGAGGCAGCAGAAATATAAAAGCGACCAGAGAGGAACAGGGAGCAGATATGACAGGAGAGCAGGAGGGGCGGCGGGAGCAGAGGCGGCAGAGAGGTCGAAGAGGGGGCCAAGCGAGGCACTGGACTTCGCATCGCTCGGACGTGAGCATGTTTTTGGGTTGGGGCCGTCGAGGAGCATCCTGGATCATCTGGCAAAAACAGATCGTCGTCGTCGTGTTCGTCGTCGTCGTCGTCGTCTCCCTCCTCCCACCTCCCCCCCCTCCTCCATCCTCCCTCCTCTCTCCTCGCACGGAATTGAAAAATGCGCCGGGAATGGACGTCCGAGCGATGGCGAGTGGAAATCAGACGCAGAGCGCATGACACTGGGCGGGTCTGGGGCCGGCACGCTCTTTCATCGGCACTCCGCCACCCCCTCTCGGGTATAGCCAAGACCCCAGGTAAGGGGACGCAGTTAGTGCCAGGGCCCCAGAGCCCCGAGATTGGCCAGAATCACGAAACCAGGTCTGGCGTAGCTGGTGTTTGGCCTCGACGGGCTCCCCAGGCCCTGGGGCGGGCTGCCTTTCCAACATCCCCCGCACCACCACCACCTCCCGAGGAAGGACGAGGAAGACGACGCGGACGAGGAGGAGGATGAGGACGACGACGAATGACGACGAATGGGGATGAGGAGCAAGAGGAGGAGGAGGAGGAGGAGGAGGAGGAGGAGGAGGAGGAGGAGGAAGGCAAGGGCGATGACGAGGAGCATGGACGACGATGGGGAGAACGGTGCAGACGAGGTGGAGGAGGCCCGATCTGCATTTCCGGTGCCCCCGCGCCCAGGCAAGGTGGTCGGCACCGCACAGTTCGGCGCTTTCGTGGCAGGGAGGGGTAGCGCGCAACGGGCAGCGGAGCAGTGGCTCTTCCTCGTCCTACTCTTCCTTTCCTTTCTCCTCCTCGTCTTCATCTGGCGCCTCCTCTTTCGCTTCTTCCGTCGCCGCTTCCTTTGCCACGATTCGTGGCACCAGAGGAAGCTTCTCCGAAGGCCCCGGTGGGCTAGGCCACACGCAGTCCCCCCCGCCCATGTCGGCACATCCCTCAGACGTTGGCCCCATGGAGAGCTCCCCCGAAGGCCCCTGTGAGGAAGGCCACACGCGGTTCCCCCGCCCATGTCAGCACCCTCCGCCTATGGCCCGAGTGGGCTGGGCCGCATGCGATCCCCCCCGCAGAATCCGGCAACGCCCCACTTGGCCGACAGCGGCGACGACGACGACGACATTGCGGATGCCCCATGGGGGGGGTTGCTGCGCAGGCGGCTCGCTGCACTCGACGACGACGACGAACACGACGACGAACACGACGACGAACACGATGACGAACATGACGACGAACACGACGACGATTACGATGACGAACACGATGACGATTACGACGACGATTACGACGGCGACGACGACGAGGGGCGCGCCGGCCGTGAGTCGATGAGCCTGCTGAGTCAGCCGCTGCCGACGAGCTGTCCCTCTATGTCCGGCCGGAAAGGACTGGTGACGAGCTGCGCGAACAGACAGCGCTGCTTGTGATCGTGTTTATTCATTGTGGTGCCGATGGGCGCGGGCCCTCGGACCCCCCCTCCCCCCCCCCCCCTGGAGTGGATCTTGGCTGTTTTTGGCGCCTGCTTCGAGCAGATGGAGTCCCACCCCCATATGACGCAGTGACGCAAAAAGAGTCGCACTAAGCAGAGGTCTGGAGCCAGACCCCCTTCCCTCCCGCCGCTTTCCGACCAGTGTCGAAACGCCAAATGAAAAAAACAGCGCTCACCTTGGCGGCTTCGTACACTCTGACAAAAATTGATGGGCCCATGTTCCACCACCACTACCATGTGTAGAAGAGGGAGGAGGACGAGGAGGAGGAGGAGGAGGAAGAGGAGGAAAAGGAGAAAGAGGAGGAAGAGGAGGAGGCGGAGGAGGAGGAGGAGGAGGAGGAGGACCTTCTCATCATGCAGGCGATCTACGACTGGGCCGGATCCAGACTGCCTGGGTACCAGCGGCTGCCGCTGGACAGGCTGTGGATTCGGAACTTGGGGGTCAATCCGGTAGTTCCTCGGTTGCTCCTCGAGGGGTTGGCCCAGGACCTGGTCCATGTAGGGACAGCGCCGTCATGTCGGAGCGTCTACCTGGGTTACCGTCTGGGGTTCCTTCTTGCTCGAGGCACTCGATGCATCCCGCGATTATGGCGTGCGCCCAAGTACCCCCGTCCCGGTGGTCTAGGTGCGCCGTCAGGGCGGGGTCCTGTGAAAGTATCACGGCAGAGTTAGTGCCCAGGTCAGTGTACCCATCGCAGATGTCGAGGAGGACGTTTCGTGCGTCGGGCCGGGATCCCCGGGTGTCTTCCCCTGTGGTTTGGGGGGTGCCCGCCAGGTGTCCCCTCCTTCTGTCTCCCCGACCGAAAATCAAACGACACCACCCCACCTACGACCCTCGCGCTACGGTGAAGTCGGTGATGTCCCTTTACAAGAGGCATAGTCAAAAATAGTAGGAAAGTAGTCTGGGGACGATTTTTCGAATTCGTTTGACAAGTGTGGAAGATGTTTGACTATCTTCCACTGTTCTTCCAAAGTCCGCCTGTGGGAGGATATGCCCGACCTGACGCTGCGGCGCGGTCGCCGTCTGGCGGTGCCGGGGCCCAGGGGTCCCCCGCCCTGACGCGTTTGTCACGCCAGGCGGCCCTGGCCAGCCGCTGGCGCCTCTCTGGCTTTGGGGGGGGCGTGTAGTGTTGAATCGGGCCTGTTCCTCCACACCAGGAGTGTCCGAAAACAGTCAAAAAAGTAATGGGGGACGGATTTATGTTCTATGTTCCATTATTCTTGAAATGTTTTGACTATGTTTCGTTGTTCGTCCAAAATCCGCCCGCCTGTAGGGGGACATGCCCGACCTAAGCGCAATGGGAGGCGATAGATGGGGGGGGCAGCGAGGGCTGCAGAAAAGGGGCCGCCTTAGGGCTCCTAAAGACAACGTTCAAGAAGAGGGCCTCTCGGGCCCGAGAAGGGCACGTTTCCTCCCCCCCATCTTCCACTCCCCCCCATTCATTCACGCCCGCGGGGGTGTCCGAGCGTTTCCGCCTTCCCGCAGTCGGTCCGCGGGTTGCTCATGCTGCGGCAGTTCCTCGGCGAGCGAGGGGGGAAGTGATCAGGAGAAGGCCTTCTTAGAAGGCGGAAGGGCTTTTCAGAAGCTCTCACGCCTTCTGAGAAGTTTTGTGCGTTTGTGGGGAAGGCTCAAAAAAACTTCTCAGATGACCAAGGGGCTTCCGAGCCCTCTGAGAAGGTTTTCTCCTTTTCACTCCCCCCCGGCTCGCCGCCGAGCGGTGGCGCTCGTGAGCGAGAATATTGGCAGCCCCCACGACTGCCTGGATCACCAACTGAGCCTTCGGGGCCCGGGGGTCCTGTGGTGTTACCCCTCAGTCTCGTGTCGGGGGCAGTGCTTTCTCCTCGTCCCTTTGGGTGGAGCGGTCCGTCGGGCTCCTGTGGGCTCTGCCTTTGCGGTGTCGCTGGTCCTGGTTGATCACCTCCGCTACCCACCCTGACGCCGTTCCGTTGTAGCTGAAAGCTGGGAGGAAGCGTCGCGCCTGGGGATGCACCCCCATCCACGTGGCGGAGGAAGTCCCGCACCAAGGCTCGGCCGAGCCGTGGAAAGGGGGGCGCTCGGCCCCGGACGTGCGATGGTCCTGGCGAGGTCGCGCGACCTGGCCCAGGCCGTGTCGGCCATCGGGGTGGCGTTTGTTGGCCACGGCGCCGCTGCGGGGCTCGTTCTGCGCCGAACCCTGGGGCGGGCCTATGGTAGACGGGCGTGGGCGCGGCATGCCTCAGTCCCTCCGCAGACAGCGGGCGGGAACTGCCGACGCGTTGGGCCCGCCGTCGGGCGAGCCTCGGGGGCTTCGGCGGCGCAGGCCCAGACGGCGGTGCAGAGGAGGACGTTCCGTGCTCCGCCTGCCTCTGCGGCCCATCCTCGGCGACTCTCTCTCTGGCCAGCCTCGCTCGAGCAACGCCGGCGTGGCCCTCCAAGGCCCAATGCATCCTCGCCGTGCATCCTTATGATGCGGGTGGACTGGCTCCGGCGAGGCGACCGGTCCAGGACTTATCCAAGCTCGGATCGATGGTCTGTCTGGGTGCCGGGGCTGCGCCCGAGCACAGAGGGTCTGCAGGGTCGGCTCTCCTTCTGTCATGGCGCCATCATCGCAGACCGGATTTCGTTCGGAAAACCATAAGATGGGCCTGGAGTGTCCTGGAGAACACCGTTCCGGATTTCGGAGTGAATTTCGTGCAGATTTTTGGGCCAGGACTGAAGACTCAAACAATACACGTGCAGTTCACTTCGCTGTTCGCTCGCCGTTTCGGGGTTTGGCAGTGGCAGGAATCCACGCAGAGATCTGCTGGAGCATGTCTGCAAGGTCAGTGCAGTGACTTCTGCACCGTCCAGTGGGCTCCATGATCGCAGGCCTACAGGTTGACACCAACACCAATATCGGCGGTATGCCTCCACCGAGGGACGAAGATCCCGATCTCGGTGATGGTGTCAACATTCTGGCTTCCAAGGTGACCGAAATATCCACCAACGCCGAAATCTAGGATCTCTTCCCCTTGTGGAGGCAACCCCATGTGTTGGTGTTGGTGCCCATTTCCAAGCCTCCAACTGGGGCCGCCTCTCTTCGAGGAGGCCGGATGCGAAGTGCTGCCTGCTCCGTCGCCACGGCGGCGGCGTGCGACGGAGGCCGGCCGACACTCGCCGCTGCTCCACAGGTCGGCGCGGGTGCTAGGGTTGAGTGTTGTGGGGCAGCGGGGGCTTGAGGTCTTCGGTCTTGCCTGCGGCCGCATGTGACGGTGGTGGGCGGGGCGTCGGGGCGCGCACGGCGCGTGCGCTTCCGCGCGGGCGTTCTGCTTGGCTGCCCCAGGCTGGCCGGGAGGTGGGTTGCTGGGGTCCTGCTTCTCCTGCGTCGTTTCGCTTGCCCCGGCTTTGGGCTGGGTCGGGCTGGGCACGCGTGGCTGGCCGCGGGGGGCGCGTGGGGGGGGGTGAGCCTAAACTAACACGACCCGAAAGCCGTCTGTCTCCTAAGCCGCGCCGAGGGCCGTGTGGGGGGGGGGCCCGTGGAATTTGAGAGGGAGGCGGCCCCGTTGCCTCGTCGGGGCAAAGGAGCAGCCCGCACATATTCGGAGGGACCTCCGCGCGCCGGGCGATGGCGAGCAGACGGGCCAAACTGGATCTGGAGCGCGGGTGGCCGCAGCTGGAGCGCCCGCTTTGCGGGCGCGTACCGCTGGACCCGCGCGCCGCGCCGGAACCGCCGGCAGCGGGCGGCGCGGCTCCGCCGCCAGAGGCGCTCGCGCATCGGGGGCACGGTCAAGGCAGCGGCAGGAAAGCGCTGAAAGGGCACATGCTCTGCGGGCGCCAGCCTCTGCCCGCGCCGGCGCGGCCCGCCGATTGGCCCGCACCCTGCGCTGGGGCCGCCGCCGGAGGACGAGCCGCTGGCGCGGCCGGGGCAAACTACTGGGCAGAAGCGCGCTGGAGTCATTATCTGGGGGATGCCGTTGGAGCGCTTCCCCTGCGGGCGCCAGCCGCTGCCCCCGCGGGCCGCTTGCTGGGGCACCGCGCGGTTGGGCGGCGACTCGATAACCGCCAGGTCGACCGCCGGCGGCGTCGCGCAACCGCGCCGGGCGCCGCCCGAGCGCTCAGGCGCCGCCGCGGTGCCGCTTCGCGCGGGGAGATCGCGCCGGCGCGAACTCGGCCGGGGCAAGCGCCGGGCGGGCATCGCCGCCGCAGGGAAGCGCGCGCCTCGCGGCGGCCGCGCCGCTGGGTTTCGGCGGAAGGCCGCCCTCCGCTGGAAAGACAAGCGG